GCTGAGGCAAAACGCCAAGCAGTGTAGAAGCCAGATCCGTTTTGACATCTCACAGAAGGTCGCGAAAAAACCCGAATCCGGAAACCCGCCCGAGTTAACCAGCTTCCTCTGGTTCAAGTTCCCGAAGAAGGAACACTCCATCTTCGCGTGTACAACGCTCAAGTACTTGTGTAACGTGAACCTCGCGAAGGAGGATCTCGGGTTCCGGGTCAAGTACTGGACCGGATCGACGGATCTTAGGTCGAAAAATTCCTCACGGCTCGGTTTCTCGTCGACGTTGGGTAACGAGAAATTGGGAGATTCGAAATTCTCCAGCATTTTCCCACAGACGAAGGATTCGAACGCGAAGCAACGGTGGCTCGGCCGAGCGAACACGGTGGAGGATTTTCGTAGGGTTATCGATACGGCGGCGGAAGCGGCGGCGTCGAGATCCCAGCTCGCCGATTCCATTTCCTTCACCACCGATTTGACGAAGCTCCGTACGGATCTCAACGCGAAACCTAGAATCTGAACGAAGTGGCTCAAATTCAAATTCGAAAACTGGATGTTATCGAACGGAGAAACCGATCCACTCGCCGTGAGTTTCTTCTCCAGCGATTTGTTAACCGCCGAGTTCTCTTCGAAATCCGTCTTCAGCGAATCGATTTGGGATTGCTTCTCCGTAACTTCCGATTCGAGCTTCCTGATTGTGATTTCGTAAGTCCTCATCAAGCTCTGTTGCTCTTGGATCTCAGCGAGCATAATCGCCACCTGCGGAGACAGATTCAGCTCTTTCCTCAGAAAATTCCGCTTCAGCTCCGACAACGCCCTGAGCTCCTCGACAACCGCCGTATCCGCCGCCTGTATCGCGGTGTTGTCGTACGGACGCTGCGCCATTTGAAGCTCTGCGTACGCGGCTTTAATGGTGGTCGTGCTGGCGAAAATCTTCGCAACCACCGCCTCCAAAACCGCTCTCTGCCGCTCTCTCACCTTGATCTCTCCGCTTCTGCTGCTCGAAGTACTCTTCAGATCGAAGACGGAATCTCCATCGTCGTCGTCTTCATCTTCCAGTTTCGGCTTCTGTGACTTCAACATACAGATACCGATTCCGTTGCTGGACGAAACCTTCGTTGACGTCGACCTCAGGCTGCATACCTTCTGGAATGTTCTCGCTAACTTGCTTTTCCTTCTTATTGACGGATTCCTCTTTAATGTTTCCATTGATACAGAGCTTGAAAATTGATATCTCTCAATGAATGTTGTGAGAGGAGAGAAACAGAGATTCAAATAATTTGAATTTTTGTTCTTTTTTATTTTCTGACAATTTAGGGAGAGGAGAAGTTTTCTGAGTCTGATACAGCAAAAAGGAAAAAGAGTGACCGAATTGTGTGTTTATTTTTTAAAAAAGAAGAAATATAAATAAATTAGAAGCAAAGCGTGAAAGCGTGGGAAAGATCATGAGAGAAGAAAAAAGAGAAGTCGATCGTATTTTGTTCTCTTTTTCTTTTGTATACTTTATAATTTTCTACGATATTGATTTTCTATACATTTGTGTGGTATATATTGGTACATAAAACATTTGTGGTTGAATAGTTAATCACTAAATTGAATAAGGTTCATGTGTAACAGTGTGAGTAAGCTTCTTTCGCAAGGATATTAAATTGTGGTCGGGTCGAGTTTGTCGGACAACACTTTGGTTAATTATAACCACTTATACCTAATTATGTCTTGATATAGTTTACTATTGATACTCCTGCTCAGGTGATCATTTGTTTTTATTCTATAAATATAGGTTGAGTACTTTTATGTGAGTGACCATTTTCTTACACTCTTGTAATATTTTTCAGTTAGGTAAAAAAAGATAACAAATGTGGGAAAATTGGTAGCTTGATAAAGAGTTAAACATTTACTGGTTCTATGATATAGTCTTCGTTTATAAATATGAGTTTCTAAATCTCTCTACTAGTAAACGCTTTAATTTTTAAATTTGGTAAATCTGTTTCTTTTTATTGTATCAGATTTCCAAATTTCGATGTGTGTTTGTCTATATACTCCACAGTTGCTACTGAGTGTTGTATATATGTATGTGCGTGCGTGCTATGATTACCTAACAGACTGATACTGTATGATAATTAGTACATCTTGAGCTTTAAGAAACAATCGATGTCGCTTAGTAAAATAAGACGAAAAAAAATATAAAACGTATTCCATTCCTTAATATCTAATGTTTTGGGGTTTTCACATTCAAGAACGATGTACTAAAAATCTCACATTAAAAATCTAAAATATCATACATTCAAGAACAATAAAAAAACTTAAACACTACTCCGATTCGATTCCGACGATACACATTTAAGAGAGGTAAAATGAACACAGCAATCGAGGGATGACGCTTATAGTTTGAAACTGCATAGCCATATATATTTTTCTTTCTAAAGTTTAAAGTGTAAAACAGTGATAAGCTATTTGAAATATCATAGTTTATCTAACCATAGACCGATTAGTGGGTGGGTCCAAAATTGTTTAAAACTCGTGAAGCCAAGTAATCTAGTTCATCATGATATCTGTCTTTTAAGTTTAATAAAATCAAAGTTGTGTGTTGTGAGGATTTGTGTTCACAATGCCATTACAAGAAAAGTTTAAGGTTGCCCCTCGGAGAAGACCTCATCATTGTTAATATTCTTTTTCAAACTTTGTCGTTTCACCTGCGGGTTTAAAGTGTCCTTTTTTCAATAGTGTATTTTTGTCATTTAAAGCATTTTTGAACTTTGTAAGAGGAAATTACACCATCTCAGAGACTCAGACTCTTCTTTTTTGATAAATACATCATTTTTTTTGTTCATAAGTAAGATTATCATATGGTGTGTACTTATAAATTGTTGGGCCTTAAACTTTTGTTGTGAAGCAAAGTGGATTCAATCATTATGGGTGTGATTGGTAACAAAATGAATAGTGGTGTATTATAGAATTTTAGATGGTACAAAATATAGCAGTAAAAAAAACAGTGGTTCGATAAATAGCATTACAAATAGAAACAATACAAAATAATAATACATACATGAATTCCAATTGGTAACATTGTAATGGTACAAAACAATGTAATTTATATTAAAAAAAATTAACAAAACAGAAATTCTGTGACAAAATATCAAAATTTATAACTTAATTTTATGAAACTAAATGACTATCTTTGAATCTAACATATTCTATTTTATTTTCAAAAAAATAAATTACCAACACATTTAAAAGATAAAATATGAAATAAAATATTTTATTATAATTGAGGGTGTGTAAGCAATTTTCTGTTTTGTTATGATACTTCCTTATACCAGAAATGAAAAGGGTATACTATGACAATAAGAAAATTATCCAATAAGATGTTTTTTTTCATCTTATAGTTTGTATTTATTTATACATAACATAAATATTTGTTATTATGTCTAATATGAGTTTTCTGATTTATTGGATTTTTATATAAAATTTGATTAACCAAGTAGATTATAGAGGAATTTTAACTAAAACACTAGATCTTAACCCGTGCTTGGAAGCACGGGATGTTGTGATTTTTATAATTATATATGTATATATGTTTGTGATATATAAGGAATGAATTAGTGTTATTTTGATTATTTTGGGAAGCACGGAAAGTTTTAATTTTTGTAAAATGTTTATAATATATGATGAGGAATTAATGTTATTTTTATGATGTAAGTATCTAATCTTATAATTTACAACCCCATATCCATAAGATGAGCGAAAACAATAAAACCGATACATGATGGCCGAACAGTATATCATTTACATGTGTCGATTTGCACGATGGTGTCCGGATTTGTTTGGTGACTTATAAAATAGATAAAATTTCACATATGACATTCTATTTGTTTATGTTTTCATTTTTTGGAAAAGTAAATTTATATGGACATTATATAAATTGTTACAAATTCCACCACTAAATTTCTCTGTATTTTACTTTGGCACATGTATTTTACTTTGGCACAGGGTCCAAATTCGGATTGGGCCGGGCCTGAGTCTACCAATTACTCTTTTTAAAATTTTAATATATTTTATTCCTATATTTTGTTTGAAAATCAATTTGCTTCGGTTTTGGTTAACCGAGAATTAAGTTGGACCATGATCTATTTCAGTCGGTTTAATAAATTGTCCGTTTCCTTGAAACACCGTCGTTTCCTGTCTCGGATTTTTGCTTCCGATCTTCGTCTTCACCATCTTCACCCAAAAGAGATTGTTTTCGTTCTGAGCTGGTTTTCCCATTTGTTTGTAACTCTTGTTCTTGGATTCTCCTCCGCTCTTCTCATATGCCTCCAGAATAGTCGATCTCTACTCGCGGCATCGCACTCCATTCGATCTGTAGCTCAGGTAAATCCCTAAACTGAAGAGATTTCCTTTGCGTACCTGATAGTAGCATTTAGTCTTCGTTGCGAATTCAGATTATCCAAACTCGTTTCTATGATTATAACGATATTGAAAGGAGCACGAATTATTCACTCTTCCTAATGATAGTGGCAATAGTTATCTATACTATTAAACTCGAACAATCATAACTTGTCTTTACTATGGAGAAATAATGTCTATGAGTTAATTGATTAAAGATTTGTTAATCACAATTATTGTTTGTATGTCTGAGGGTCGTTTCCCGTGATCATCGGCGAAGAGGATTGAGCACGGAAACATAAATCTTCAATTCTTACAAAAACATCAATTCAAAACAGACAGAGGTAAATATTCTCCTCTTCTCATAGCTTACTCGAATATATGATTTCACAGTTTGTTTATACATGTAGCTGTCAATTATTTGTGAAATGAATTATTTGTGTTGATATTGACATAGCCTATGAACAGATGAAATCAACCGGCACAAAATAAAAAATAGTTGATTGTAAAACATTAAACGAAGGTTTTATACATTGTTGTCTTAAATGAGTTGCATAAAGAAAAGTAAACATAGTGCATTAACTTTAAACATGTTCGGAATATTTCGTAGAGAATAAAGATGGACATCACTTTTTATTCTCGCTTTTACAACCGTTGAAGTAATCAAATTCCATTTCTTCATCTTCTTCTTCTTCACTGTCTGGATCAGAAGAGCACCTACAGGAAAGAAATTAGATTTTGTAAGCTATAATATGGAAAATAATTGGTCATAGCAACTCAAATGTATAGGTAATGTCATAGTTAGAATACTTACATTATTTCCGTGAAATAATCAACCTCATCTAAACCAATAGGATTGAATTCAAATGTAGAGATTCCTTCTTCACTTTGGACATGAACAGGATCTAGACATATACAACATAACATAACATCACAACATCACTATAATTATCCAAAATTTGTATTAGACAAAAATTTCTATATACTAACCATCTATATCAAGAATCCGCCAATCAGTTAAGAGGCATACTATGCTCTCCGTTTTACCATAGTAAAGCCAAAATCGTAGAAATTTAGCTCCTAAGGCCCCCTTTGCACGACAAATTATTCGAGCACCACTAAAGAAACGGACAATTATTCAAATATATAGAATTACAATTCAGAAACTGTATATATGTTAAGAGATTAAGGGTCTTAAATATATACGTACTCGTTATCCTGGAGGGTGAAATCTATCGAGTTAGTGATTTTTGGATCATCGTTTAGTGCGTTCCTAGGAATGGAGTCATCTTCCGTGAGCTTGGTGATGTTCACTTCAAATATAAAACCTAGAAAATCTACATAAAGAACACATAAATAACGTTAATATATGAAAGCCACATTTCTTATAGGGATCCTTGAATAGGGAGAATAAAATGAGAAGTAAGAAAAAGTAACCTCTGGTAAAAGAATTTTCAACATTAGAACTGTCGCCCAAGACATATTCATAAGGCAGAATATCAAGGGGAATAAAAACATCTGATCCGCTGCAGGTGTGACTTCGGTGTTGGACGTTAGAGCAATCTTCTTTCTTGCTTCCGTCAAACGGAACTCTGTTTCAACCATAATAACTGAAAATCCGGTTAGAATCTTCCATTCCCCTTCATGAAGACATCTCTTAAACCTATTCATCTGATTTCCTTGTTCAACAAATGCATGCATCTTTGTGCCCTATTAGAGTTGAAAACTTCCATTAGGACAATGCTTTTGTGCCAAGTTAAACTTATGTATCAGATTATTTGTTAAGATTGAAAAAAACCTGATCGTCAACAAAAAGAAAACTTAGACCTTCACCCAGATCTGCCTCCAACGTATCCCACATCTTTGAAACTCTAACCAAAACAATCGAATCATGTTTGTTAGTTGAGACGTCGGCAAGTTTCGTGAAGTTTGCCATTGGAGTTGTGTTTCGAGATTTAGAGTACTTAGTTTTCTTCTCTTAAATTCTACTTCGGAGAAGAATCTGCGTATATAAGGAATAAAATCAGGGTATAGAATAGATCCCATCGGTTGATATTAAACGACGCGATGGTGATGCTTTTTTCCTTTTCTTTTTATGTTTTTTTTTTGGTAACTATGATTGTAACTATGGCTATTTCCATAAAGTTTTGCGAACAAATCCCGGATTTGACGTTACAGTTAATATAATCCTGATTGCATATTTTAAATGGTTATTTTCTACTATATACACTATGGTTAGTTACGAAACAACATTCCAATATATCGGTTAATCTGACCAGAGAGTTTATATTTCAGTTACTTCATTAGAAATGAGGCTGATTACAAAATATATATGGAATAGTGTATATTTCCGTTGAGGTTTTGTATTTGTGAATATTCTTTTAACTACTAAGGCACGGGAAAATCTTGAATAAGTAGACAGAAGTTTATATTAAATAGAGATGCGACTAAAACATGGTAGTAGATAGTTCATAAAAACATCTCAAGCACACATAAACTGAAACAATATTAAGTTGAAAAACAACTGAAGCAACACAAATTTCGATATTAAGATCATATAGTAGAATTTCATGGAGATAAAACAACCACCTCCTCAACGGAACCATCACTGTCATGGAAACTGTTTGAAATTGGGTCAAAAACATTTGTATTAGTCACTCATGAATGTTTTTTAAAGCAAATGTTTGTAAGGATTGATGATAATAGATATCTAACTTACTATTCAGCGCTGAAGTCAAGAACATCCTGATAGTTAGCATTGAACTGAAATCTAGAAATTCCTCCAGCGTCCTTAATCTTCAGCTCTCCGGTTCCTATGATTTCTTTCAATTAGTTGTTGGATTTAGGTAATAGATACACTCGTAAAATAATTCATTAGACTAAAGTTTCATACTTTGTTCTTGGTAAACCATCCAGTCACTCATTGTAATGAATGTTTCTGTTGAACCATGCTTCCACCATTTATCATGTATTTGAACAGCCAAGACTCCATAAGCTTTGCATTCCATTGTTACTCCACTATGGTCCCAATCATAAAAATGTCGATTAGCTTAGTCAGATATAAAGAAAAAGACATAACAGGTTGAAATTTTTAAATGCGAGCAAACATAGCTTGCTTAACTTACTCTAAGCCCTTGATGGTGAACATAACTCTGGATGTCTTCTTGTTATTATCTAGTGTAAAGTTCTGGTCTTTGACAACTTTAAGCTCATCAACTCCATCCAGATAGCCTATAAGGTCTAAGGGTTTTGGATAGAGTTGTTAAACTTTTCGTTATTAATTCCACAAACAGAGTACAAATATAAGGAGATCATAATAGTTGACTTACCAAGAGGATGATGAGAGTTGTACACCCAATTCTTTATGTCTGTGTAGTCCTTGAAATTCATATAGTGCTCTTGATGAATACCACTTGCTGCATGCAGGTCTGTATTGTCGGTGAAGACGATTGTATGTTGATTCTCGGAGAAAAGTTCCTCAGGTGGTGTTAGCTCGACGACGAATCCGGAGATTAGTTTCCAGTGGCCCTCGTGCACATTCATGTCGAAATGGTCATATAGGCCATCCTCGTCACTAACTTTAGCAGGTATTTTTCCATCCTTCCATTTTTCAAACACAGAGAAAAGACTCTGTTAGCTTTCAGTTACTAAATTAATCATGCTAATAACTTTATCTATACTATTGTTATGAGATGACTCATGATCGAGAAACTTACATGTTCATCAACTAACTGAAAACGCAATATTTCTCCACCACCATCTATCATCTCGGTCCATTTCTTCAAGACCTTCACTCTTATGATCCAATCGTCCCTCTGAGGAGATAGCTCCACAACCCTTGAAATATTTGCCATATCTAGTCGTTTTGTATACGCTGCTTGTGTTGAATAGGTTAAATTGTGTTTCTTGTATTTATAGGCACAACATCGTCCCGTAGTATATTTATTTTCCTTTTATTACACCTGTTTTATTTGGAATCTATATATTTTTATAAATAAATTGACATTGATTGATTTTTGCAGATTTGTCTTCTCAATGGAAAAAGGAAAAGCTGAGACTCTGATACATATATCTTCACACGCAAAGGTATGTCAACTTACACTTTTCTTGAAATTTGAGGCATTTACTGAACACTATCTAATCTCATTACAATGGAAATGATATGTGCACATCAAAACCCTAGTAAACTGAATTCGACTTGATGATACAATTAAAATAGATGAAACGGCCTGTTTTATAGTGAGTCCACTAAGGCAAAATGCCAAATTTGTGATTTCATTAATTCATCGTAATTTTAATTTTACTTAAGGAAGATTTACTTTTCTTGTTGGATCCATCTAATTGAGAGTAAGACTCGTATTGCTAGGCCCATAATACTACAATAGTACATTTCATTAACACAACTTATATCTTATTTTGCAATTACCAAATTTTATGATATCAATGAACTTATAAAACTAACCATATTTTTAGCTCGTAGTAAGATTGAATATATCCGTGAATTAAATTATTGTGGAACCAATAGGTTACCATATGACTCATTGTAAATAATGAGTTCAACAATGTCTTAGTAATGGATCCAAAATCATATAGAAGTAGAATGATTAGAGGTTCTTGAAAACCTCTTTGAAAACAACATTGGTTGTTCTCCTCTGCGGCTTCCCTTCGCTGTCGACGATCAAGATCTTCAATCCCTTCTTGGAGGTTACCCTGGAGATTGCGACGTAAAGCTGTCCATGAGAGAAAACAGGCCTTGGCAAGAATATCCCAACCTGTGATAAAGACTGACCCTGGCTCTTGTTGATGGTTATTGCGAATGCAACAGCTAAAGGAAGTTGTCTTCTCCTCATCTTGAAAGGAAGTAGGGTGTCCGATGGAGTAATCAAAAGCCTAGGAATAATAACCTTCACACCGACCTTATCTCCTGTTATAACTTTAGCTTCAACCATAAAATCAGCTAATTGAGTTATCTGCAATCTCGTTCCGTTCATTAGACCTCCTATGGGATCAATATTTCTGAGCAACATAACTGGACAGCCAACCTTCAGTCGCAAAGCGTGATTAGGTAAACCAGCTACTCTTATGCTGTTTAGGAATTCCGTGCTTAGAGCCTCGTCGTTAATAGCGGCTGTGTCACAAGGATCTATTGTATCAGAGCTTAGATAGGTTCTCTCCTCCCCTGGGAAAACGAAATTTAAAACGTTCTAATCATATACCTTAATTAGCAAGAAACTCAATTAAATTATATAGCACTGAATTAGCAAGCAACTCAATTTGTGACTTATCAAACTGAAAAAGAAGAGACTAACCATTCAGCTTATCGAGCATGTATTCATTGATCATGTTGACATCTTCGTTAGTGGGACAGAGAATAGCTCTGCCTTGGAAAAATAAGGGATCTGTATTGTCCTGTAGATCAGAAGCATCTCCATATATTTCTCTGCTTATGGCTTCGATAGGTTCCTCTGCATCAGTTATTAAAAACTCTTCCGGAATATCTATTTCAGCTTCTCCATCGTTAGGTTCTTCTATCTTACCATCCCCAACATCAAGAATCCATTTAGAAAAATTCTTTAGATCAGTTGCTTCTTCTGCGGTCAAGTTGTCAGATAGTAATCGCATATTTTTGGTTAGCTTGAGAACCTTGCAGTGCTTCCAGAGATAAGATGAGTTCAGAGCAGAGCATACAACCTCTGCTCTACCGGCTCCAGGAATCACAGGAAGAACCTGTCGAAAATCACCTCCAAAGACAATAACCTTTCCACCAAAAGGTTTCCCATCTTCATTACCAACAATATCAGACAGTGAGCGATCCAAAGACTCAAAACAATGCTTATGCATCATCGGAGCTTCATCCCATATAATCAGAGAAGCTTCTTTCACCAGATTTGCGAGATCTCCACCTTTTTCCATGTTGCATGTTGATGTTTCATGAGGATTTATTGGTATTCCAAACCTGGAATGAGCCGTTCTCCCTCCTGTAACAAAAGACTTGCTATACCGCTCGAAGCAACGTTGAGAACTATCTCTCCACGACATCTTATTGCCGATGACAATATTTTCCATAGAAAAGTTTTTCCTGTTCCACCGAATCCAAATAGAAAAAACACACCTCCAGTTCTCTCTAAAACAGCACCAACAATCTCGTCATACACTTTCTTCTGCTCATCGGTTAGCTTTGGCAAATCTCTATCGTGATTCTCTTTCTGTTCTTTCTGATTGTAGCTTTTCTCGTCGACGATTAAAACATTATCCTCTCTTGCAACAGTTCTTCGTGGCTTCGGCATAGTCTTAAAACGTGAGAAATCTCCACCGTTCCTTTTTAATATGTTTTCAATCTCTTGCAAACACAATTCTCTCCGGTCTTCATCACTCAATATATATTCTGAAACATACATCACCATTAGAGCCTTTATGTAATATAGTTTTCAAAAATAAAAATGCGTTTATTATATACCTGGTCTATTAAGCTCGCGTCTTCTAATCATTTGTAAGTCCTCTGAAAGAGCCTCCCAAGTATTTTTCCAAACCAGCTCTGGAGAAGTTAAACTGTCGGAATTAAGCATGGTGACGAATAACTGCCGAAGTTGAGCTGCAGAAGTCGTGAAGCTTCTCCTGAGAATGTCATCAATGTACTCTTGGTCATCCTCTAACAAACCCCTGGCATAGCACGCATCCTTGTTGCTCGGATATAGCACTCCATTGTATGTCTTGATGTCGTCAAAACATGTGGGACCACGGACAACATTTAGCAACACTCGACAATAATAAGCATCTTCAATCTTCCTTGGGGCATAGTTGATTCTGCCAATTGCAAAACCTGTCTCCCTTTCTTTCCAACGTTTCTGGCTAGCAATATATACAAAGAAATTTGGAATCTGAACATAGGTTAGCGTTCTAGCAAACTCATTTTCCAAATTCAGCTGAAACCAAGCCAACATCATAGTCTTCTCGATCAGTTTTCGTGTAACAACCCTTTCCAGCTTGTCCTTCCCTTTGAAGATAACCAACTGTTTCCCTTCTAAATGAAAAGTGAGTTTAACCACAGACACAGATCTATGATGTATTTTAAACCCCAGTGTTCTCCATACAGCTTCTGTAGCACCTACAAACCTTCACAAAACGTTTCAAAACTTGATTTCAGAAAACGGTGTCTAACCTCAAAATTCATTCATAAATGTATCAAAGGAAACAGAATATATTAAGATTTTGATGGAACATCTTACCGGCAATCAAAATAGTCTTTAATCTCGTTAACCTGCTCAACCTTCTCAGTGGACTCAGAACTATCTTCAGTCTGCTTAGCTCCATTAGTAGGTCTCCCATTTTTCTTTTTCTGCCGTGCTTCTTCACCAAGTGTGGCCTGCTCAGCTGACTCAACAACGACAGCAACACGATCTGATCCTTTGTTGATATACTTAAATAAGTACTTAATAGCAGCTGACTGGTTACACCATTCTACATTGATGTGAGCTTTGTAACGGATGGACAGAGCTCTGTTATATGGAATCACGTATCGGTTGTCACACTTGAAACCATTCTTCTCGATAAACACACCTGGCTGGTCCCGTCTCCTGTATATTGGGAAGCCATCTTTGCTTATCTTGGTTCTCTCTGCATGAGCTTTCGGGAATAGCTTTGAACATTTTCCATTTTCCATACATGGTGAGTTTATGTTCACATTACCGCAAGGACCGTGAATCATCATATCCTTCACAACTTCATATAGTTCTGGCTCCTCCACCTTATCTGGTATCTCTGCTGATATAATCTTATCGATATCATCCGTAGTTGGAAACTTGCACTTCTGATGCATAAACAGAAGAATGTGAGCATGTGGCAGTCCTCGTTTTTGAAATTCTATTGTATACATTGCTGCATTGTTAAAAGAAGTGATCGTGAATCATAGGAATAATAATTGTGCAGAAATCAAATGAAAACATACTTGTTAGTTTACTACTTATAATATGATGGATTGGTACAAAACTTACACGCAACTGTTTGGCCTAGGAGTCCATTATCCGTCAAGTCTTCCATGAGTGACGCTAGTTTTATATGATACAGCCTGCAGATGAGTTCAGCTCTATCCGTAGGTTTCAGATTTGTACCATCAAGCTCTCGGGTTAGTTCTGGCCATTTAGGATTGCATGTAAATGTGATGAACAAATCCGGGAAACCATAATGTCTGCATATCGCCATCGCATCGAAATATAACTCCCTCATATACCTTGGTCCTCCAGTGAAAGACGCATGCAAGTAAAACTTATTACCTTGTTCCTCCATTTCAATGACACCTGCGTCTTCAGCTTGTTTGATTGAGTCATAACTGTCTGATCTCAAGCTTGTCTGGTTCATCCGCAGATAGGTAAGCCTGTTAGTCTCAATCATGGTGTAGGTATCGACCAAGTACTGCTGAAACAGCCTCCTCGAGTGTAAGAGATGGTTAGACTCTTTTGTTCTTTCAAATAGACGGAAAGCAAAAAACTGTCTAACAGAGATGTTTTCCTTCTTATTTTTTTTCCCGTAAACTGAATCTGCTTTCTTAATTCCAAGCCTGAAACCATCTTCTCCATAAACGAAACACGTAGGATATTGTAGTGGGATATACGACGGATGAATCTCGCTAATACGCCTCAGCTTTCCGGATTGTTTTTGTAGGATTATATCACGGTTCTTCCCCATGTCAAAATTGAAATCTCCGGGAATGATTGCAGCAACCTCAGAAGCCGTAGGAGTGTTGTAAGTTCTTCCATCAGTAACACGATCACTTATAATCCTCATGTGAAAACTGTGCTCAGGGTCAGTGTTGAATCTCTCTCTTGCAGACCGAAATGTCTTCACGTACGGGTTGTGCTCATCTAAGACCTTGACGAACAATTCAATGATTTCCTTCCGTAGTCGGTTCTTCTTAGTTGATTCTTGTGCATTTTTAGCCTTGCTGGATAAGAGAGGATAAACAGGTTAGTACTAATGATAACATAAACTGTTTGTGATTCAAGAATCTATACTATTAAATTATAAACTATGTAATATAAATTACCTGAGGAAAGTGAGCCTATTTTCGATCTCATTCTCCATGTCAACAATATACATCTGATAGAATTTTGCATAATCTCCAGGTTGTGGAATCATGCTGCCCATTAAATGGTAATTCTCTCCGTGCAACTGAAACATTTGTGGACCCCTCCCTTTTTTTACAGAATGATCAACTCTTCCACCCATTGAAGTAAAGGAAAAAAGCATGCTGTAAGGCCTGATGTGCTTCTGATAATGTCGGCTTAATTCATCATCTCCATAAATCAAATTTTTAATTTCAGGAGGAGGATCCTTTAGCAACGGCAACGTTACTTGTCCCTGCATACAGCAAAGCGTGAAGACTGGATTGCGTGACCTCTTCTTCTTGTTGATACGTTCACCATACCAAAACTTAGCATCACAGTGAGTGCAACGATATGTCATATCACCCTCATCATTATATTCTGTACGGGACAATCCAAAATCACCAGAAACTTAGTGTAACTTCAAAATTAGAAACTACCAAGATTATGCAAGACTATTAATTACCAAGTTTTAATGGTTCCTTTGTTTTCACTTTCCTCCTCGCTCTGGTTCCTTTTGTCGAGTTTGGTTGTTTCTTAGTTTCAGCTTGGACACACGGCTTTCGTGGATTCTTGGATCTAACCTCTGCGAATTCCGGTTGAGGCTGATCACATCCTGCAAGGTTTGTCTTTTAGAACAACTTGATTCATCATTTGATAACTCATCTTCCGTGGTTTCTGGGCTACTACACTGAAATATATGGTCATAATCTCCATCATCATCTACAAAATAACAAAATGTCATAGTTTAGATAATTTTTGAATTCACCATGAAACTATTGAAAACAATACTCAAACCAGAAATAAACTTGCCTTCCGAAGATACCAACAAATCTGGGAAATTATGTGGTCTATCTTCAATAGTAGTCTCATCAGTATGTTTTATTTTTCCTCTAGGTTTGCGTTTAGAAGATGGTACTTTTGTTTCCGTCTCAATTGTTTGCAGGCTGGAAAGATCTCGCATCAACTTCCGACCACGTGTGGTTCGCTTTGACTGTTCAGTGTGACAGCACTTACTGGTGTTCTATCAGGCACTGTTTCAGACGAAATGAATCAATCAGCTATTACTCCACAGTTGAAACTACGTAAGTTATAAACGGTAAAGCCAATGAGTTAAATTATAAGCCATGAGAGAAATACTTAGTACCTTGGAAAGTCGGTTTTGTAAACAATGGGGAACCATTAATATCGACGCGTTTCAAACTCGTAGCCCTTACAGAGCTTGTATTTATGTTGTTAACACCATCAAAGATTCTGCTAAAAATTGTTCTTACTGGTACACATGCTTGAGTTTTCGTGTTGGAAGGTTTTTTGATGGTTTGAGTTGATGCTCTTGTTTTCTCGTTTTTCTGGTTGTGGTTGTTTTAGGATCCTCTGCACCATCTACTATGTGATTATCAACGCTCATCCCCTGATAATGACTATTAGTTCATAAAAAGTTCATCCATTATGTAACTTGTTATAAATGAGTTTGAATCTAAGTGATTTTTTATTTACCTTTACATATTTTCCATTGCAGGTGTCGTTATTGTCATATGAGCTTTTCCTCTTTCTGGATCTAGGAGGTTTTCTGGGACATCCATCGATGACAACTTCCTCTGTTTTCTTCTTCATGATGCTCTCCTTTGTAGGTATCGACTCTGATCACAACCTGGCTTCGGTCTGAATAGTAGTGTTCTTAGAGATATTAAACTCTTAATTCTGTGTAGTAAAAAATCTCTGCAGCTGATTAATTGTATGTCATTTTTCACCATTTTATTACAGGGCGGGAAAGTGAAAAAATCGATTTCCCTCGTACCAAATTTCAAATTATGAAGCATGAATCTGAGTAAGTATATCAAAAATTTCAAAAAGTAAAGGTAAGTATAAGTTTACCTCCAATTTGTTTATTCGAAATCTACTTAGAGTGAATTAAGGAAATAGTATATATTTTGTTAAGATATGATGCGTGTTTTAATTTGTAGATCTCTATCTTGCTAAATGATAGAGTAGGTACACACCAAAATAAGATTGCAGTATTTTATTTAAGAAACACAAACATGTCTCATAAAAAAGTGACACAAAATTAGCCTGAGCATTTATTTATGTTTTATGCTAATCAATGGTTGACTATGCTAATAAACTACTTTTGTGTGTATAGTACTTGTGATTTGGAGAAATGTCAAGTTTAATATGACGTCGGAACATATCAGTTCAGTTCACATCCCCAATCAATTCAGGTAACTATCTCTCACAATGCATAGATTTTTACTTTTAGATTATCGCATGATTTCATATGTTCGACATATCTAACATAATTATAAAACATAAGATTCAAACTTGAAATCATCCAGAAATAAGAGAAACAGTGCTGGTCATAGTTAATTACAAATAGATATAGAGAGAAGTAGGTAATCTTAGAATGGCAAACATCTTCTGGTCACTTGCGTGATTTCCAAACTTTCAGTACAATCTTCAACCATCCATGAGTTCAACGTCACTATCATCGGATGTGGGATGAAGGCTGTATAATGTACACATAATATTATTGTTAGCTAATATTATTGTAGGTTAGAATTTGGTAAACTTAGAAATAATACATACTACTAAAACTTACAATATATTTTCGAAGTGTTCCACCTCTAAGTGACCGGTTGGATGAAAATCAAAAGTAGAGATACCCTGCACACTTTCAACGTTTATACCACCTACATGTATATCAAATAAACATTAGGAAAGTTGTAATTTAAATCTGGAACATCTTAGAAAGACATGCTAATAAAAAGTTGAAAACAAATCTCAAACAGATTACCATCTGATCCAACTACTCGCCAATCAGTTAAGAGGATGATATTTGTTCCAGTGTAACCATAACAAAGCCAGAAACGTTTGAACTTATCTGCTAACTCTCCTTTCGCACGAAAGTTAAGCCATTGCCACTTAAAACATGAAAAACAGGTATTTCAGTTTCGTATTACTCACTTCCAAGCAATCTATACTATTAAAGACAATAGGTTTATAGAAATGATATACTTACTTGTTGTCCAGAAGCATAAAGTCAATCTTGCTAATATATTTGTTATGCATGTTCCACATATTCCTAGGAAGGAAAGGATCTATCATAGTGTCCAACTCCCTCACAATAGTTATTTGACCTATAAAATCTGTAATGCCACATTAGATATCACTACACAAAGTATTGCCTCTAAATAAAAATATTTTCCGGTTATATAAACAGAAACTAAATAATTCAGCAAATTACCTCTAAGGAAAGATGTTCCGTCTTGAACAGCTGAACGATAAACATCTCCAAATGGAATAAGATCCAGAGGAATGAAACCATTAAAGCACTCAGAGTTAGAAACTTGGGTATCACGCGTGAGAACAATTTCTTTCCTCTGTTTGGTCAATCGAATCTCTGTATTAACTAACTGGACTTTGAAACCAGTTATGCTCCTCCAATCTTCTTCATGAAGTAGTCCCCTGAATCTCCGTTTCTGATCTTCTCTGTCCACGAAAGCATGCATCTTCGTGCCCTGTTAAATTTGTAGGAAAGATTGAGCAGATAATATTAGTTAGTATCATCATGTATCATAAAACAATCTATACTATAAAACATTAAGTTCTAATTACCTCATCATCAACAAAGAGGAAACTTAGACCTTCAAAGGTAGTCAACATCAAGTGTATCCCAGATTTTAAACTTTCACAGTGATCCGTAAATCATCACGGTCTGGTGTAACTAAGCGAGTTTAGCGTTGTTCATTGTTTGAAATTTCAGATCTAACTTTTTACTGGTTTCTGAAGTTTAGATATAAGGGTTCCTATTTATATATTCTTCATAAAGTATATTAATACGCGTTAGCTTGATGGTACACGCAATATATTGAGATCTACTTAATTGATTCGCTATGAATATCTAAACTGACAATTTCGTTGAGTGTCCCGTAAAATTGAGGCGGACTGCAGTTAATGGTACTGTAAATATACTGAGGATTCTCTGAATATATTCACTTTTTCAGAAAAATCTTATCTGACCAGTTTCAATTTTCTTTGTAGGTGATTATTACTCAAGCATGAAACCTTGACCAATTTCTCAATCAAAAAGATAAGTATTTAGCTACGGCCCACCAATTTCTTCTAATCCTTTTTCCTTAGACTCTAGATGAATGGGCCACAAATTGTGTAGGAACCTTATAAACACTCTTTTAGAATCAGAGAGTCTCAATGTTACAATCTCAAGTAGATAAGTCTTAGTTCAAATAATTGATTGTGAAAAACCATATTAGGCTCTTCAGATAGATAATACTATAGATGTAAGATAGTCGATATAAAGCCAACTGAAGTGATAATTGTAACCAACTTATTAAAAAATCCAAATAATATCTCAAATACTGAAAAAAATAAAAGCTAGAAAGGTCTTTAGAAATCAAAAAACAAAACGATGACAATGTTGACTCATTATTCCTTGTGACAGTTTGGGATGCACTACTCGGTCAACGTCTTCACATCAACACCATTGCTTTCGTCTTCTAGGTTGATGAGCTTGGTGCACTGTTTCTTTGAAGTGGAAGAGAGCTCACTTCTGATATTGCTGTCTTCAATACTGCGCTTAGGAGATGGTGTCATCCCATTGCTCTTCACAACAGAGGCCTGAAATAAAAGGTATGATGAGAGATAAGGTTAGCTCTGGACTATGATTATATAGTATCTAACACAGATCCAAATATAAACTTCGCATACCTCATTGTCAGAATGAATTTGAGAGAGATCATCCTCAACAGTAATGATCTCATTGGCTGAATCAGAATGACGTGATATGACCATTTTTTACTTTGTGAGCCTTGTAGGTGTCATTTCCATACATGATGTGCTCCTTCTCTACACCCACCAAGAAATCGAAAGTGTTCCCAACCAAATCTTTTATGGAATCAGGAAGAAGTTCCGGGTCTTGAATCTACACAGGTAAAGTTTTAACATTTGTATATTTTGTAATAATGCTGATATTATATTCAATTGGATTCGATAGTACCTCATCAGTAGAACCATTAAGTAGGAATGCAGCTGTCTTGTTGACCATCCCGTTAGCAACAGAATCCATGAGCATTATCTTAGTCTCACCAGAATCATCTTCAATGATTAAATGTAGCTTGAATCTATTGAAGAAAAATAAAATTTCCTTGTAGAATCGTAAATAACACATAAGTAGTTGTTCTATCAGATTGCAGAGTATAGACTTACTTTGGTGAAACCGCTTTGATATTTGTCTTGCAGTTATCACAATACCAAATAGGAACTACTGGTCGTGGTCTGGTGGAAGACTCCTTTTTCAAGTCTTTGAAAACCCGATGTTGACATTTAACGCAACCAAAGTAATACCATCCCCAATCAGTATCAATAGCAGTGACCTTTGCACGGATTCTAAATTTCTCAATCTACAACAATAAACAAAACAGTAAGCTCAAAATCCTACTCTAATAGTCATATACCCTTTGTTCTTTGTATCTATACGAATTTCCAAAACAGAATCATTACCTCGGTAGAACTCGTGACATCATAAACGGACTTAAGATCAAGCGTCAACCACTCATCCGCCTTTTGCTGTTTCTGAAGCTGCACTAATGCATCGTCCTCTTTCAGGTTCATTGCAATTGCCAATCCATCAGAAGGTAAACTACAACATTCATTTCAAGTTTTGGTAAGTATAATTAGATAGATTACTGTAATGTAGATTACAATATACAAATCGTTAAAAATAAGACAAAATATAGATTAACCTTGCTCGAAAGTGGTCAGCCTCGGGACATACTGGATTGATAATGAGTTGAGATGTATCATAAGCATTGGTAACTTGCAAATCTCCTATGCAATGTAATAATGTTGATATGAAGTTAACTTTAAGCAATACGGAAAAATCAATTAAGTTCTGTTTAGGTTTTTTTTTGTATGCTTGCCTAGATAGAAGTTTATCTTTGCAAATCTGATCATGCATATCACCGGTTCGCCATTTGCTTCCTTGCATGCATCATATAACTGCTCAGCATAAGACTCCCAGAGGCATCCGCTAACACGTTCATCACTGCATTATAATACTTCGTGATTAGTCTATTTGTTCATTCAAACAAACACAAAATATATCAATAAAATAACATTAGAAATTAATCTTACTCAGTGTCTCTCAGAACAAACTCGAGCTTACGTTTTCCTTCCCTTGGACAGGTACAGTTTGGATCTCCTGGACGTTGAGTACTTGACCAATGAAATCTGGTGGAGAATGAACAAAACCAGTTCATACATTACAGAAAAAAGGTCAACTAAAGGTTAATAAACTAAACTTTATATAAACAATGAGACTATTACCGATGAGTATGCAGTGGTTCAGACCACCATCATAATAGTCCGAATAGGAATCAGTTCAAGAAACTGGCTGTCGTTTTTAACCGAGCAGGTGCTTACTTTCGTGTTCAATGTCATCGTCATCTTCCATTTGCTGTTTGTAGGACGGAACTGACCCGTTGCATGAGCAACCTGGAAATTGTCAAGGACTCTCCATTCGCCAACTTTCAAATCCTTGGAGATCCTGCCTATGTCCTTCTTCTTCGCTGCAGCATGTATTTTTCCACCCTGCAAACAATAGTCCAAATAGTGTCAAGTGTGCTTAACGATATTAAAAGATTATCGGCTATTTTACAGAATTATAACTTACATGTTCATCAGCCAAGACAAACTCCATCGTCTCACCGGCCTGGCCAACGTATTGTCTCCAGCTGTGTAGGACTTTGACACGCACCCTCCAGGTCGACTTGAAGGGTTTGAGATCATCAAGCTTGGTAAACATCTGACCAATAGTCATTATGCTTTGTTTTGAGGTAAGATTCTGTTTTGAAATGTGGATGGTGAGGAGGAATGAGAACTTCTTGGGGGGTTCTTATATTTATAGTATAGGTGTTATGTGATCATTAGGGTTTCAGTCGGTCTAAACACCGAAGATTTTGGAAACTCGAATATATGACAATATATTGTTGCATAGTTTGTGGAAATATTTCATTAAAGGTTTCATGGAGAATAAGTTGTTTTCTCTCTCTTGATTGCAGATTTGATGAATTACGGGAAAGGCGGATGATCACGTTTACAGTTAAGCATATTCCAATTCTGAATACACAATCATATATTCGAAAATCGGGTAGTTAATAGTTATCCTTAACTGGATTAGATTATTCGAATATCCGGTTTAGCTATTAATTGATCCGCGTGTTTTGTTTAGGCTTCGGGTCGTTAGATTCGCCGGTATGATTTAAGTTTAGAGGTTAATTACGGGTTAAATCCTGTTTGGCTACAGGGATAGGGCTTGTTAGTGCACTTTCTTTTGTTGTTCCTCTACTTTAATAGTATAGATACACACCATAATTACTTGCTTATACAATATATATATATATATATATATTTTTAATTGAAAATGTACTATAAAATGAAGAGAAATTTTAAGAAATACACCTCTTGAGGTGTAAATTTCCAAAAATACACTTTTTCCTAATTTTAATATATATGTTTGGATTCACTAATCCAAAACTAGGGTTTATATTTTGGGGTTTAGGGTTTAGATTGAAGGGTTCAAGGTTAAATTTTAGGGTTTAGAGTTCTTTTACTTCGTGAAAAAGTGTAGTTTTGAAAATAGACATCCTAGAGGTATATTCTGAAGAAACTTTTAAAGATTTCTCATTAAAATTTCTTTAAAAAAAAATAAGTTATTGACAAATCTTTAAAACACAAAGTTAATGAGCACAAATTTCTATCCAAAACAAAAAAAGATCATAACACTTAACTTTAGTCTAAACAGAAATAAAAGACTTTTTACTATCACTTTATTCTTGTAATACTCTATCAAAGTAGCATTACAATTATACTATCATTACAACATTTGTACTATCATTTTTTCTTGTAATGCTGCATTTTTTTGTAATGTCATTTTTGTAATACCATTTGTGTAATATCTCTTGACTGGTAACACTATGTAATACTTGATCTTATTGTAACCAATCAATGCCAATGTCTGTTGGGAAATTCTTCTCCCATTTTTCTTGAGGATATAAGGGAATGTTTGGGATTTTATTGAATAATTGACCAGACCATCGATTAAGAAAAGTTTGGCGGCCCGTTGAAGCATGTGTATTTGTTTTGTAAGGAAAGGTCAAAAACTAGTTTATAACCATATGAAAAATCAATATAAACCAATCTCGTTGTCGACCAAAAAAAATCCGGTTTGTAATAACCAAATCAAGATTCAGCACAAATACATTCACCCTCTTCTCATTTTTTTTTTTCATCTGAAATTTTACAAATTTTCAACTGGTGTTACACACTAACCAAATGACAACAAAGAGGGGATAAACCCAAAACACGACGGACGATACATTCTCCGTAAACAAAGCGAAGGGAGGAAAATTAAATCCCTGGAAAGAAAGCCCAAAAAAGGAAGAAAATTACAACAATTAGAGCTAAAATCCTCCTAAAACCAGATTAGAACTTCAACAAATCAAAGCAATTAGCATCAGAAGCCTTTAGCACAGCCGGAGCAAATGACATGATGAAATTGACCTTCCGAAAAACCACTTGAACTTACCTGAAACCTCTGTCATCGATGATAGAGCCAGAACCACACACAAAGAAGCACCAACCCAAACCGAAACACGAACCGAGAAGAACAACACCAGAAATTAATCTCTTCTCAAAAGGGCTGCTAACCTTGTTCCACTCACTACATGCCACCATATCTCTGTCACTGCTGCTGTAGCCGTAACTGAGATAAAGACCAAAGAAACACACGCTTGAACCAGTAGAAGTTTAGAGGGAATCAACCACTCTGCATCTACGGATAAACAACAAATGGCCTTTAGACTGAAAACAAGCCTCGCCGTAGCAGGATCGATGCCATTTGGAAGGAAAAACAGAACGACAGATCTAGATCCACAGATCTGAAACCCAATCGAAATGAAACTCTTCTAAGAAGCTGAGAAACATAGAGAAGAAGGAGGAAAAGGCTCCAAAGGGACAAGAAAACAAGCTGATCAAGAAGAAAAACCAGCTTTGGTGCTATCTAAGCCACCAGAGCCGACTGACGGCGGCAAAAACCTAGATCTAAATCTAGAGAGAAGTTGGAGTAAAGCGGAGGAGAGGGAATAAAATGTCGATGATAAGACTTTTTGCACCCTCTTCTCATTATCCATACTATTTATGATTCCAATTATATTTATATGTTATTTGTTTCTGTTAGATGTATCATTGAGTTTAAGAATGATAACTCTAACTGTAGGTCTGCGACTTTTTACCCATAACCGAATACCGACCCGTACCGAACTGATTTACCCGATACCGATTGATTTCGGTTTCCATATAATTAACCGATGGGTAAAATTCTAATTACCCGTGGGTATGGTTCATCCGAAACTAATTGCATCGGTTTACTTACCCTAAGACATTAGCCGTTTCAGATTCCCCTAACCCGCCTCATTAATCCATTTGCCTCCGAGAACCCTAATTCCAAACTGGAATCCTTATCTCTCCTTGCCGAATCTGTCACGTCGCCACCTTCCGTTGTCGTCGAGAAATCAATCGCAGGTTTGTTTCTCCTTTTCTTCTCTTTTCGACTCGATTTAGTCTCTGAGACTCTGAGTGTTTCGTTTTCTTTAGCTCTCCTTAGCTCTCCTTCACTTTCTTGTTTCGTTTTCTGATTATTACTTGATTGCTTTTGGTTTCTGATTGTTTTGTCTTGTTTTCTGATTATTCTTGATTGTACTCCGCCATAGTTGCTTAATAGTTAAAACGAGAATGATAAACGGAAAATATGAGAGATTTCGAATTTGTTTTGAGATTTAGTTGCTTTAAGATGATATTGAAAAGCTGTGATGAGTATTGTGAGTGGGTTTTGTCTTGTTTTTGCTTGATCATTGATGCTTTTTTCTCTTGTTTAAGGATTTAAGCTTAAGCTCTCTTGTTTAAGTTTTTTTAGCTTAAGTGTTGATGTTTAAGTTTGGCATTGTTTTGTCGAATGTTTTCTGTCATTTCGTAACAATGTTTTGTTGAACTGAAATCAAATGGATTTAACCAATTGTTTTTCATTTGTTAATTTATGATGCAGATGGCTTCTTGTGGCTCTCATGATATGGATATGGAGGAAGACGATGTTAGTCAAACTCAACAAGAAGATGTTCCAACACCAGTACCACCACCAACATCTCGAAACAAAGGCAAGAGAAAAGAAAGATCTAGTGGGACTACTTCTGGTAGTAAGAAGAAGAAGAGTGCAAGATCATGGGTTTGGTAACATTTCCCAAGACACGAAGACAATTACGATCTTGCTAATTGTCTCTACTGCAAGAAGGAGTTCTCTGTTCCAACGTCTAATGGTACGACGAACATGAAGAAGCTTCTTCAAACATGCAAGTTTTTTCAGGTTTGGGAAGCGGCTGGTAATTTTAAGGACCAAAACCAGACTGTGCTGACTCCTACTGGTTCGGATGGAACTCTGAGTTTGAGAAAGGTTTCTGAATCCGTGGTTAAAGAAGCTCCAAACGAGTTGATTGTCTTAGCTCAATTGCCATTAGCTTTCATAGAAGGCATAAGATGGAGACATTTCTGCTCGAAGGTGTTGCTGCCGACGCCTGTTTGCCGCAAAACGAGCACAAAAGAGATAGTAAAGATCTATGCTGATAGGAAAGCTACAATGAAGATTATTCTTGGGAAGAATAAGCAGAGGTTGTCGTTGACTACTGATATTTGGGTTGCTCCATACACTGTAGCCAGTTATATGGTCATAACAGCTCACTTTATAGATGCAAATTTTCAGCTGAAGAAGATGATCATTGGGTTCAAGAATGTTGGTGATCACAAAGGTGGAACCATTGCTCAAGTTCTTCTGGATTTTCTTGAGGAGTGGGACATAAAGAAGATCTTCTGCATTACAGTGGATAATGCGACTGCAAATACATCGGCTCTGAGGAAGTTCAAGGCTGGATTTCTGCTAAAAAATGGTGCTGATGCTTTGGTGCTTAAGGGAGACTTCTTGCATTTGAGATGTGCTACACACATCTTGAACTTGATCGTGAAGCAAGGTTTAATGGAGGTAGACGATAGTATTTCTGCAATCCGCAACGGTATCCAATATGTGAGGTCTTCGACACCAAGGCTTCAATCTTTTGAGTTTCGTGTGGAGTCAGGAAAGATGTCAAGGGGTAGTCTGCCTTTGGATGTGAAGACGAGATGGAACTCGACTTATCTCATGCTGGATCAAGCTCTCAAATTCAGATCAGCGTTTGATAAGATGAAGACAAATGAGAAACCATACCTGGACTACTTCGACGAGATTGTGGAAGGAAAAAAGAGGATTGGACCACCAACAAACTGCGATTGGGAAGTGACTGAAAGGTTGGCTCAATTTCTCGACATTTTTTACAACTCTACTTTGGTTCTTTCTGCTTCTAAGTCAGTCGCTGCACATAAAATCTACAATGAGATAGTGGCTATTACTAGGATGATTTATTTGATTGATGAGCAAGCCGGTGATGATAATGAGCTGAAGTACAAGGCCTTGTCTATGTTAACTAAGCTAAAGAAGTACTGGAATCCTTTTAAGGATCCAGTTGCTAGAGGTAAAGACAAGAACTGTGAAATGAATAAGCTGTTGATCGTAGCTAGTGTCTTTGACCCGAGAAAGAAGATGAAGTTTGCTCAGCTGTGTTTTGAGAAGCTATTTGGGAAAGATACGATCGAGTATAGAGTTATGTATGATTCTACATTAGCTATTTTGAAGCGGCTGTTTGATGAGTATAGTGCTTCTGCAAGCAATAGTTCTAGTAGCAGTGGGACTGGTAACTCTCAAAGCCAAGGAGTCTCGTCTACTCAGTCTCAAGATCAAGTCCGAGGTGAAGTTCTCAGCAAAAGAACTTTGGCTAATGGTGTCGGCTATGAAAGAATGGACAACTTATTTGAAGAGCTTGTGAAACAATCTGGGATTGAGGAATCCTCGAATGAGGTGGATTTATACTTGAAGGAGGCTTTGGACAATCCGAAGCTTATGAAAGGAACAGAGTATGATGTCTTGTCTTGGTGGATGAGGAATAGTTTGAAATTTCCTATTCTGTCTCTAATAGCTAAAGACATACTAGCAATACAAGTGTCTTCAGTTGCATCAGAGTCTGCGTTTAGCACTAGTGGGAGAATGTTAGACCCACATAGGAGCTGTTTGACACATTACATGATCGAGGTGTTGATGTACACTGAGCAATGGCTGAAATGCGAAATCCATTTCAGTGAAAAGGGAGTCTCAACAATTGAACAAATGCTTTCTCATGTGGAGTTGCAAGATGATCTTATGCGAGGTAATAACTTCACCTTTTAGCTCATTTAAATCAATTTTCAAACTTTGATTGCTTATGTAATGTTCTTTGACTTATTTCTTTTGCTTAGAGTATGAACCTGAGTTCCATCTTTGAGAGGAGTATGCGATTGATGAATTGAAGCTTCAAGAATCAACACTTCAAGTATTGAAGTCTGAAGACAAATGCATGTTTGGTTTGTCACTTTGTCTTTGTCCTTTTGAATTCTGAAACATGATCTCTTAAGTCTTTGTTTTTGCTTTTGCTTTGGTTTTGAACATTGAATTTGGATGTCTTTCACTCTTTTGGATTGTAATCGTTATCATTTGCACTTTGAAACAAGTTTTTTGATTTACATTGTTCCATGTTTTTTTTGGTTTATTTCGGTTATTGTGGGTACATTTCGGGTTTTCCATCAATTTCGGGTATAACCGAACCTACCCGAACCCGAACGAACCGAACCGAAAATATTTCGGTACATACATGGGTATAGGACTCTGATACCCGACCTACCTGAACCCGATCGGTTCCTACCCGAACCTGACCCGTTCACCCGAAGTCGTACGCCTAACTCTAAGGTTATAGGATCAAAAGAAAATAACTAAATTTTTCGTTTTAAAGTCGGAAAAATATAAAATAACATCGATTAATTTTTTTTTTGGACAATTTGGGCAATTCTCACACATCGGTAAGTTAAGTTTTTTTTTCTCTCATACTATTACTTATTTTTGTTTCCTCTCATAATTTTTTATCAATAAATAATATTAAAACTAAATCCTTAACCTACAAACCTAAATCATAACCCCTAAATACTAAACCTTAAACTCTGTATACTAAGCCTAAACCTAAATATTTTAAATTATAAACCATTTTTTAAGTTAATTATTATAATCATAAACCATAAAAACTAAACCCTAAACCTTCTTAACTAAACTCTAAACCATAAATTCTAAACCTCATGCCCTAAATACTAAACTTTAAACCCTAAATATCTAACCAAAGAGATGAGAAGAAAAAAACTATTAATGGTATGAGAAGAAAAAAATTTGACTGAGTGGTATATGAAGAATTGTTTTCAATTTGCTTTGTTATCTAAACTTATGTATTTTTTTAATAAAGATTAAGGAGTAATCACAAATCCCTCGATTACTAGTTAATTTGAAAAACAGTATAAAAAAAAAATTATGTAACAAAAATTTCGATTTAGTTATTTTTAATTTACTCTATGGTCCGAGCCTCAAATAGTCAAATATTTAAAGTCAACAAACTCAAAATTTAATAAGAGTTTTAGTCCACGATATATTTATATGTTATTTGTTTCTGTTAGATGTATCATTGAGTTTAAGAATGATAATTCTAAAGTTATAGGATCAAAAGAAAATAACTAAATTTTTCGTTTTAAAGTCAGAAAAATATAAAATAACATCGATTAAATTTTATTTGGACAATTTAGGCAATTCTCAGACATCTGTAAGTTAAGTTTTTTTTTTTCTTTCATACTATTACTTTTTTTTTCCTCTCATAATTTTTTTTCAATAAATAAAATTAAAACTAAAACCTTAACCTTCAAACCTAAATCATAACCCCTAAATACTAAACCTTAAACTCTGAATACTAAGCCTAAACCTAAATATTTTAAATTATAAACCATTTTTGAAGTTAATTATTATAATCATAAACCCCATCAAAACTAAACCCTAAACCTTCTAAACTAAACTCTAAACCATAAATTCTAAACCTCATGCCCTAAATACTAAACTTTAAACCCTAATATCTAACGAAAGAGATGAGAAGAAAAAAACTATTAATTGTATGAGAGGAAGAAAAAAATTGACTTAGTGGTATATGAAGATTTTTTTCTGGCGTCACGAGTCAGATGATTACAGAGACAGCTTCTCGGCAACACCTGGGAGCAAATCCGAAAAGTTAGAGACCGGGTCCCTTGGAGCAAGGTCGTTTGGTTCCCACAGGGTGTACCCAGGTTCTCTTTTATCACTTGGCTCGGGGTTCTAAACCGGCTTGCAACGGGTGTACGGATGCGGGTTTTGGGCCAGGACCAAGCTTGTCTGTATTGTGGGGAGCGTGACGAATCTCGTGACCACTTGTTTTTTGCCTGCCCTTACACGTACACTCTCTGGTGGACAATGGCAGCGGAGCTATTGGGGAACAGTGCCTCTCCGGACTGGAACCAAACGCTACAGTACATTATTTCTCAAGGGTCCGACACCATGGACTCCATTCTTCTCCGTCTATTGTTCCAAACCATAGTCTACCACCTATGGCGAGAACGGAATATGCGAAGACACCAAACAAGTTGGGCCCCGATACACCAGCTTGGCCTCCTAGTGGACAAGTCTATGCGGAATAGAATCTCCTCCCTGAACTACAAGTTTCCTCATAAGTTTGAAGGATTGCTACGTCGATGGTTCGAAATACGAAGGCTTCCCTGACATTATGTCTCACCCTTCTTCATTATTCTTTACACGCTTTCGTTCATAAGCATTTGTAAATCCCTGCTCTATATTGATCAATAAATTTGAAATTTCATCAAAAAAAAAAAAAAGATTTTTTTTTCAATTTGCTTTGTTATCTAAAATTATGTATTTTTTAATAAAGATTAAGGAGTAATCACAAATTCCTCGATTACTAGTTAACTAGTAGAGGACCCGCGCAAACGCGCGGTGTGACGTTGCGGTTTTTTGAAGAAAATCTAAATTCTTAAACCCGAGCCCGACCCAAAAACCTAATCAAAATTTTTTAAAAACTCAAACCTTTTTAATATGTCTAAACCCGAAAACCGAAATCCAAAAAATCCCGAAAACCCTGAACCGAATAAAAAAACTAAACTTTTTTACCGAAACCCGAACCCGACCTAAAAACCTATAAAAATTTTAAAACACCAAACTTTTTTAATATGTCTAAACCCGAAATCCAAAAAAATCCCGAAAATTCTGAACTAAACCCAAAAAAACCCGAACAGAAATCCACAATTTGATTTAAATTAGACGTATTTCTATTTCACTATTGGAAATTTTGCAAAAACATATTCTATTGATTATTGATAAATTATGTTAATTTTTCTTTTTTGCAGATTTTTTAAGAGCTGGAAAACGGAAGTTTTCTAAACCATTGGTTTGTTTTAAGTTATTATTCTTGTATCCAAACAATTTTTTCCATTTATTCTTCTATCCAAATAATTTTCTCTTATTCTTATATCCAAACAACTTTTTTTTCCATTTATTCTTCTATCCAAATAGATGTTTCTCTTATTCTTGTATCCAAACATTAGAATGTACTTCTCAATTAATAATATAATAAAGATTTGAAAAACAGTATTAAAAAACAATTATGTAACAAAAATTTCGATGTAGTTATTTTTAATTTACTCTATGGTCTGAGCCTCAAATAGTCAAATATTTAAAAGTCAACAAACTCAAAATTTAACAAGAGTTTTAGTCTATGTTATATTTATATGTTATTTGTTTCTGTTAGATGTATCATTGAGTTTAAGAATGATAATTCTAAGGTTATAGGATCAAAAAAAAATAACTAAATTTTTCGTTTTAAAGTCGGAAAAATATAAAATAACATCGATTAAATTTTGTTTGGGCAATTCTCAGACATCGGTAAGTTAAGTTTTTTTTTTTCTCTCATACTATTACTTTTTTTTTTCCTCTCACAATTTTTTTTCAATAAATAAAATTAAAACTAAATCCTTAACCTTCAAACCTAAATCATAACCCCTAAATCATAACCCTAAATACTAAACCTTAAACTCTGAATACTAAGCCTAAACCTAGATATTTTAAATTATAAACCATTTTTGAAGCTAATTATTACAATCATAAACCATCAAAACTAAACCCTAAACCTTCTAAACTAAACTCTAAATCATAAATTCTAAACCTCATGCCCTAAATACTAAACTTTAAACCCTAAATATCTAACCAAAGAGATGAGAAGAAAAAAACTATTAGTGGTATGAGAAGAAAAAAAAATTGACTTAGTGGTATATGAAGAATTTTTTTCAATTTGCTTTGTTATTTAAAATTATGTATTTTTTTAATAAAGTGTAAAAAAAAATATGTAACAAAAATTTCGATTTAGTTATTTTTAATTTACCCTATGGTCTGAGCCTCAAATAATCAAATATTTAATAGTCAACAAACTCGAAATTTAACAAGAGTTTTAGTCCACGTCGTCATCACTTGATCATAATGAACGTAACTCTGCCAGGTGTATATATCTCATTGGTTCGATGACATGTAATTTTCGTCACTTGTTTAAAAATGCTTCCTAACACACGAAGCTGAAGAAGCAAAAATATAAAAACTTGAACCCATTTCTGTTCTTCGCATCTCTCTCTCTCTCTCTCTCTCAAACTCGTCGTGGTAAGCTTCTTCGTTATCCCTCTTAATCATACCAATTTAGATTTCCGCGATTTCGTTTGTGTCGATCTCAGATTCCTGATTTTGATAATCCTGAATCGTCTCCGTTCTCGTGGAAACTTCACCTAGATATAGTCCCGATCTAATCCATCCCTGATTTTCAAATTCGCAATGCCGATCTCAGATTTCGTAGTGTCTTCTTCTTAGATCTGGTTTCTGGATTTAGTTTTGTTTTCAGATTTCGTGGCTTATTCATTTCCGATTTTGCATGTATAATTTTGAGATGCGTTCTCATTTTCAATTCGCATTCTTGTGAAATTCTGCAGAAGCATAGATACTAATGGGAGGAGGATTTCGAGTATTGCATTTGGTGAGGCCATTCCTGGCGTTTCTCCCAGAAGTGCAGAGCGCAGATAGGAAGATTCCGTTCAGAGAGAAAGTGATATACACAGTGATCTCTCTCTTCATCTTCCTCGTCTGCAGTCAGCTTCCTCTCTATGGAATCCACTCCACCACCGGCGCGGATCCCTTCTACTGGATGCGTGTCATCCTCGCATCTAACCGCGGGACCGTGATGGAGCTCGGTATCACTCCCATCGTCACCTCCGGACTCGTCATGCAGCTCTTAGCAGGGTCGAAGATCATCGAGGTCGACAACAATGTCCGCGAGGACCGTGCTCTCCTGTAAGTGTTTTCACATTGGCAAATTCTCGCTCGAGCTCAGAAAAATTGTGGTTCTCATCTTTGTGTTGGTTGTTAGGAATGGTGCTCAGAAGCTTCTTGGGATTCTGATTGCAATCGGTGAAGCTGTTGCGTATGTTCTCTCTGGAATGTACGGTCCCGTTGGTCAGCTCGGTGTTGGAAACGCCATTCTCATCATCCTCCAGCTTTTCTTCGCCGGAATCATCGTTATCTGCCTTGACGAGCTTCTTCAAAAGGGATACGGTCTTGGCTCCGGGATCTCACTCTTCATAGCAACCAATATCTGGTATTGTTTCTAAAGCTTTATTCTTTTGACGTTTTTAGATTACAGAAAGATTGAAACTTTTTTCTTGATTTTTGATTTTGATTGTGGTTGTGGTGACAACAGTGAAAGCATTATCTGGAAAGCATTTAGCCCCACAACAATCAACACAGGCCGTGGAGCCGAGTTCGAAGGCGCTGTGATCGCCTTGTTCCACATGCTGATAACTAAATCCAATAAAGTTGCTGCGCTTAGGCAAGCTTTTTATAGGCAGAATCTTCCGAATGTTACCAACTTGCTAGCAACAGTCTTGATCTTCTTGATCGTCATCTACTTCCAAGGCTTCCGCGTTGTGTTGCCGGTGAGGTCGAAGAGCGCACGTGGCCAACAGGGGTCTTACCCGATCAAGCTGTTCTACACCTCCAACATGCCAATCATTCTCCAATCTGCTCTCGTCTCAAACCTCTACTTCATCTCTCAGGTACTTTTCTTGTGTTTGTTTGTATGTATACCTTTAAGCTAAGAGCAATAAAAGTTAACGCAATTTGGATCTATCAACAGCTTCTCTACAGGAAATTCAGTGGAAACTTCTTTGTAAACCTATTGGGACAGTGGAAAGAATCAGAGTACAGTGGACAGTCTATTCCAGTTAGTGGACTCGCTTACTTGATCACAGCTCCAGCAAGGTAATGTAATGCACAAAGTAGTGTTTAGTGTTTGCTTCTCCATCATAACAACGATGTGTTTCCAATTCTCTGAATGTTTTGTGTTCTATGGTTACAGCTTCGCCGAAATGGCAGCTCATCCGTTCCATGCTCTGTTCTACATCGTCTTCATGCTCACCGCTTGTGCACTCTTCTCGAAGACTTGGATTGAAGTCTCGGGGTCTTCTGCTAGAGATGTAGCTAAGCAGCTCAAGGAGCAACAGATGGTGATGCCTGGACACAGAGAGTCGAACTTGCAGAAGGAGCTGAATCGGTATATCCCGACGGCGGCTGCTTTCGGAGGAGTGTGCATTGGTGCGCTCACAGTTTTGGCTGATTTCATGGGAGCCATCGGGTCAGGAACTGGGATCTTACTTGCGGTGACGATCATATATCAGTATTTTGAAACCTTTGAGAAGGAAAAGGCAAGCGAGCTTGGCTTCTTTGGCTTCTGATTGTTTCTTAGTAGACAAATTAAAAGAGGCATTTTTAATTGTGTAGACACTTTTTGATGATGATTAATCAAAGAGACTTTTACCACTGTTAGTTTTATTTTATTTTGTTTTTACAATACTTACACACTGGTAGCGTTTTTAAATGTTTGACAAAGACGTAGATTAGGCCTTTAAGATGTAATAACGTTTTGAAGAAAAAGAAAATATCGTTGATAAATTAACATATAAAGGTTTTTGATGCTTTGCTGAGAGTTCAATGTAGATTGTAGCCAAAATAGGCGTGTGTGAGATATAAAGGTTCCTCTTTCTGGTGGTGGTTGCTTCATTTCAATAAAGGAAAAAATTTGATGACATTAGTTGCACAATGTATAGATATTAGTATGTTACTCTAACCTGATGGCTACCTTTTGGTGTTATTGTAGAGCTACTAACTGCAATACCTTTGTGAAACTTGTCTCTCATTGACTGCCATATATCCAGCTTTGGTCCTTATAAGCTCAACCAAGTTGCGCTCAAACTCATTTTCATGCTTTGCAACATATTGTCTAGAGAAGGAATCGTGAACTTGTGCAGTTCCACGTAAACTCTGTTTCACTGGGATTGATATGATAGATGACTAATCATTTTTAATGTTTCAGCAACAATATTTGCATATGGACAAACGAGCAGCGGAAAGACATATACTATGAGAGAAGTAACGGAGAAAGCTGTCAATGATATTTACAATCACATAATCAAGGTATGCATTTGAGCATTTCTATAATCAGAGTTGCAAATCAGCGTTTTAGATGTTGATGCAGATCTTATAACCAATATATATTTTTGTTTCACTTCTGTTTGCAGACTCCTGAAAGAGACTTTACTATCAAGATTTCTGGTCTGGAAATATATAATGAAAATGTCAGGGATCTGCTGAATTCAGAGTCCGGTCGTGCCCTTAAACTCCTCGATGTCCCAGAGGTATTACTTATAAATCATTTTCTTCCTGATGTCTTCATGGCCTTGACTGAATGTATAGTTCCATTGATCTAATAACCTTAATGATCCGCAATTGCAGAAAGGGACCGTGGTTGAAAAACTTGTAGAAGAAAAACAGCTAATAATGATCAACACTTGCGTCATCTGATTAGCATCTGTGAAGGGACCTTGAACTTGTTGCATCTGATTTGGTTTCTTGTAATTAACATTCTCCTTTACTATAAAAAAAAAAAAAAAAAAAACACAAAACAGAAAGTTCATAATACGCAAATTTTCTATACGCAAACTTAGAGCATACCAAATAATTGAAAAACATTCAAACACAGGAAACAAAGTTTGAATTTGAATTATGATATAAAACGCGGGGTACCAACCTAGTAGCTTTAAAACTTGTATAGAATTTGAATTATGATATAACAAAAAAAAAAAACATGAAAAAAATAAAGAAAAAGAGTCTCATGGACCTTGCATATTTTCTCGGTAACTATAAATATATTTTATTTTTATTTTTATGAATTATTGGGTGGTTCTGGGCCGAAGCATGTACATTCCCTAAGCCCGAAACCACATCATGTAATATTGGTTTCGTCCCAAGTAGCACTCATAGCACTCGATCCTGTGAATTCTAAACTTTGCCTAAAGTCCTTTATCAGTCGAGTTATAGCCACTTGGTCTGTTATTGCTTTTTAAGATTTGAAACTTATTAAATTTAGGAAAATATATGTGGAAGACAATTCCCGGAGTTTCAAGTTTCAACCTTAAACTTCGTTTACTTTATGTTCATGTTCCTCTGAACAGCAACAATTCCTGAACATAGATTCCTGATGGTGGATCCATTCCAAATTTAATAATATGGGTAGGGAATTTCAGACGACCTGACCTGTCTGTTAAGAAGATTAAACCATAAGCTTTATTTTTATTTTTTTTAACACTTAACTTTGAAGTTGTTTGTGTGCTATCTCCTGCTTAAAAATACTCTCTTCTTTGTTTTTACAGAACAACCTAGCTGACATAAAGTAAAAACGTAGATAATGAAATGATTTCACTAAGTTTTAAAAATGTTGCTAATCTAAGGCAACATTAATTTGAGTTGGATAAGGTACCAAGGCAAGAAGAGAGTTTTATACTGGCGGTAATGCCGTAATGGTTAGGGGGTAATTTCGTTGGCGTAAAATCATTTCACTGCATTCCTAAAATATTATTTGTATCTATCTATATATATAAAACACAGTTTTCTCTCTTCGGGGTGTACCATGTCAGTAAATAGGCATTATATTTTATTTGATTTATTATATTTTTTATTCTTCAATTTTAATTCTCATAATAATTATTATTTATTACTATAATAGGTTTAACAAAAATAAAAATACGAAAAGTCATTTAAAAAAAGAAATCTTATGTATAATTCTATAAAAAACTATTATTTAGTAATTTTTCTTGTCAGATTATATACTTTACCGTCAAACAAATATAGATTTTTGGATGAAATGAGAGATCAGAATGAACAAGATGAGAAGAAACAGAACAGGACATGAGGTAAATTTTGCTAACCTCTTATTATATTTAGGGACGGGGAGAAACGGAAGAACCGAGATGGAGCAGGACAAGACAGAAAGAAATGGAATGAGATAGGATGAGACTGGGCGGTACAGACATGACGAAAAAGATGGGATGAAAATGAACATAATGGGAACTTGAATTTTGCCTATCCCTAATTATATTTAGGGAGGGGATGGAAAGAAACGGAAGGAACAAGATGAGACAGGACAAAACGGGAAGGAACGGAATGAGATAGGATCAGATTGCACGAGACCGGACAGACATGACGGACAGGACGGGAAAGAACGAACATGATAAAAAGGAACAAAATGGGAGGAATGAGAAAGGATGGTTCGGAAATTTTACGTAGCCCTAATTATATATATATATATATATTATTTTTTTTAAAGAAATTTTATTTATAGATCTATAACAACTATTGTTTAATAATTTTAGTTTTGTCAGATTATAAACTTAACCTTCAAACAAATAAAGATTTTGGATGAAATGAGACAAGACCAGAAAGAACGGGATGAAAAGAAACAGAACGGATTAGGAGGTAAATTTTGCCTACTTCTTATTATACTTAAGGACGGGACGGGAAGAAACAGAAAGACCGAGATAGGATATGACAAGACAGGAAGAAACATAATGAGATAGGATGAGACTTGACGGGATGGATAGGAAGAAAGGACGTCATGAAAAGGAACATAATGGGACGGGACGACAAGACGTGAATTTCGCCTATTCATAATTATATTTAGGGACGGGATGGAAAGAAATGGAAGGAACGGGATGGGAGAAGACAAAATGGGATGGAAAATCATGAGTTATGATGGGATTGCAAGGGCGGGGACGAATATGACGAACGGGACAGGATGGAACAAACATGATAAAAAGGAACAAAATAGGAAGAATGAGAAATAACGTTCAAAAGTTTTGCATAACCTTAATTATATTTAATTTTTGGAAATAATGGGGTAACTGTAATTATATTTAACTAATGTGTATGAAATTTTTGAAATAATAATAAACCATATAATTAAAATTAATTTGCGAAAAAATAATAAAATCAGCACAACAATCTAATTATTTTGTGAAATCACGGGAAATCAAACCCATGGGCTGGGATACCATATGAACTCATGAAGCGAATTTAGGACAGAACATATTTCAGAAAAATGTAAGTAACTTAGACATCATAATCTGTTTTGTCACCTTTTCCTGTATTTAGTTAAAAACTCACAAACTTAAAATCTGCAAGTTTGTATACTGAATAGCGATGTTGTAATAAGAAACTTACTCCCTCTAAAAGTGTTGGTATACTCAAAGAGCTACGTTGTAATAGAAAACCTACTCCCTCTAAAAGTGTATTTTTGTGGCCTGAGTTCTTAAGAAACAACTTGAGCTTTCTCTCGCTCCCTCTTCTCTATCTTCACAAGCACTTTTGTGTGAACTCCTCTCTTGTACCTCTATTGCAGGTTGTGAGAGTCACTTACTCACTTGTATGTATTCATATTTATAATTGTTTTATATAGAAATGTGCTTCACCCGTGAAATAATCTAAAAAACGAATTTATAGTTTTAATTTAAAAGTTGTAGTGAGAAATATGAAATTCTTCATATTGATTATGTATATTCAAATTTGTATTTTTTTGTATAAGAATGTGTTTCACCCGTAAATAATTCTAAATATAAGCTTTATATGTCTTAGTTTAATAACAAAAAATTCTTCCTGAAAATTAATTTTATTGCTAAATATATTTTTTGTCCTTCAATGTTCTGTTTGATTTAATATTAGATTTTTGAAATAAATATTTTTGGCAATTTTAAGAATATTCAAATGTGTTTGGAAATATGAATTAGAGTAATGAAAATAGGTAACAATGGAAATAATTGTGTTTGACGGTGAATATAAGATAATTAAATAAAAATAAAAATAATAAAGCTTAGAAAATTGTGGAAGTGACACCTCAGCAAATATGTTCTTCAATATTCCTCTTATAATATATAGAGGATAGATTAAAATCAATTAGGTAATTAGGTGATTATTCGCGCATACAGATTTTGTTTTTCATTGTATTGTTTTTACAATTGACAATTTTCTATGTATATTATTGAACAATCAAACAAAATGAAACTCATAAGTTTTTTTTTACCATAATAGACTAAAATCTAATATATTAGACAAAAAAATATTCTTGTTAAACCCAAAAATCTAAACCCTAAACCTAAAATCTAAACTCAAAATAAAAACCCAACAACTAAACCCTAGACCCACAAGGCCACAACTAAACCTTGAATCAACAAAAATAAACCCTAAATCTCAATTTGGGAAACATAAACATATGCTTGGATTGTTTGTAGTCTTTATGTTTCTTGCGTACCTAAAATTTCAAAGTCTGATCAGTGAGCTGGGGATAACACGAAGAAGCCTTTGCTAGCTCCTCTGCTTCCGTATTCGCTGTCATTATCCTTTTCTTATCCTCTTATTACCGTCAATATCAAAGCTACACCATAACTGATTTTGACTTGCTATAATTTGACACATAGTCTACTTATCTTATAATAAGAAAGAAAAACATGTTTGACCTTAATTTTTCTCTTCATAATCTCACATTCACTTCACTTGTTTCCTTCTTTGGTTCTCCGCAATTGCTATACCTCAATTCTGTAACCCATCTTATTTTGAATCAACCATGGATAGGTTAAACCAATAATCATGCAGAAACATAAAATCCTTGATAGGTTTTTATTTTTTAGAATCACAAACGTTTGTTAAAAATTGCATATTCTTCTCAACATCTCTTTGTTATTCATTACAAACCAGAGGGAGCAAATATATTAGTATAAGCTAATGACGTGAATCTTGAAAAAAGAAGAAGTTTCTACTGTACTAGAGGGAGAGCCGCGCTTCGCGCGGAAATTTATATTATTGTATTAGTTTTATTGATTTTGCAAATATAATTTATTTTCTGGTTTATTATTGTCTAAAAGTATACACAATAATTAAATATAACTAGGGTTAGGCAAAATTCTTGTCAATCTTGTCCCATCTTGTCCTATTTCGTTCATTTTCATCATGTCTATCTTTCTCATCACGTTTGTCCTGTTTGTCCCTTCTCGTCCAATCCCATTATATCCCATTATGTTTTTTTTCCATTTTGTTATGTTTTATCCCGTTCCTTCTGTTTCTTCTCGTCCTGTTCCCCTAAATATAACTAGCCAACTAGGGGTATGAAAAATTCTTATCTAGTCTCATCCTGTCCCATTCCGTTCATTTTCATCTTGTCCCATTCTTTCTCGTCCCGTTCATCCTGTCCGCTCCGTCCAGTCTCATCCTATCCTATTATGTGCTTGATTGTTTAGGACTTTGGTTTTAGGCTGTGACTGGCTTTTGGCTGTAGAGAATTTGGCTTTAGAGACTATTACTTTTAAAAATAATGAAAGTCTCTTTTTAATTTTTATAAAAAAAAATGTTGTCAAATTTTTTTTTTCCTTTTACAAGAGCCTGAATATTTTTTTACTAGTTAACTTTTTTTAGCATAGCTAATTAAAATATAATTTTAACTTTAATTAAGTTTTTAAGAAAATAATATTTTAATAATA